TGACCAATCATAGTCTGAGTATTGATTATGCAACCAGGGTGTTTTATTGATAGATGTTTTTATGTATAGTAACCAATCATAGCTGAGTGTTGCACCGAGTGTTTATGTATAGTGACTAATCGTAACTGAGTGCTGTCTATATAATCTAGATTCTTTACTACTAAAGTTGACTGTTATGGATCATATTGGTCGAGTCCTAGATACCACCGCAACACAGTGTGAGCAAATCAAGAAAAACTCCACCTCAGACTGACTCCGACAACCGGGATTGACCGACGGGCTGAGCCTTGCTTCTCCCCCCCTTGGGACGCCTTGGGTGAGACTTCAACTAAGCGCTTTTCTCAGGAATCTTAGAAATCTCTCTAGAGAGTTATTCCCTAATATTTGTAGCCAGGCTGTATTATTTATAACCTCTTCACACGTTTTATGCTGAAAAACGTCATATTTGCACGTGCTTCCTTGCAGACAGTCACTATCACCGGAAATTCAAAAAACCTCTATACCTGTTGCACAAATAAAACTGCACTGTTTCAGTCGCCAGTTGTCACAGTTTCTTACTGAACGTGATCAAACGCGGCCATGCCAGTTCATGAGCATGGCTGGACTGAAGGTGCAGACTGCTATTAGTGTATCCAGAGCCATGGTATTTTAATGTACGTATTAAATGCGACTGGACTGGTAGTAGTAAACTGGATATCACTCAGAATTTAAACCTAGCTGCACCTAGCCTCTCACTCCGGTGAGGAGAGTTAGAATGCAAGAAGGTTTCTTTTCTGCCAAAAAAATGCAACAGACCCCACAATTTCATGGCCATGACATCCAGGGATTACACTGATGATCACACCCCGAGCAGCTTTCCCTTGTTGATCAGGATCAGGTCCGCATGATCATCACTCTTGTTGGCCCACCTAGCAGCTCTGCTAAGAAGCTCTCCCAGGGCTCCAGGCTGTTGGCACAGTGTTGCTTTGCCTGGCCAGTGAGTGCCAGGGGAATTATAGTCCCCCATAGGAACATGATCATTGACCTGGAGATTTCTCTGGGTTCCTGTCAGAAGCCTTTTTCTGCCTACTCTCCCTGTTAAAGTACTTCAGAACTGCCAACACACTGTAACCCTTACTGACTTCTCCTCTCATCCTTAGTCACACAAGTCTGCTCAGCCTGTTGTCCATCTTGCAGAGCAGCTCCATATATATGAGCTGCTCCTTCACACAGGGGACAGAGCTTGAGCATAGAGAAAAAAGACGTGCTTTGGAGCACACCTTCCTCCTGCACCATCAGAGGGACAGGGCATGTCAGCTGTCTTCAGGAGGGGATGATCGCTGTGTATGAAGGTAAGTGAGCAACAAGGGGTGCCCAGATCCATCCTTCCAAGCAAGGACCCTGCAACAAAGGGGGGCAGAGGCTTTGTCTCCTGCCAGGGTCAGCACTCTGCCTGCCCAGGGAGCTGCCCACAGCAGTGCAGGCAGAAGCAGTGGGTGGTAGAATCAACTCCTGGCATTAGAGACTGTCCTTCTGTCAAGAGGGTGCTGCGTGAGTCAGGACTGCTCACAGCTAAGGATCATCCCAGGACTTTTCCTTTTCAATCCGAAGGTCAAGGCAGGGATTACTATAAAGGTAAACAGCTTTCCTAAGTCTGTGTTGTCAGTTTCCTGCTCCTGGGAGATTTGGGGGGAGAAATGGAAAAGCAGATTCAGTGCTTGAACAAGCCATTGAGACTCTCGAGCTGTAACCCTGAGATATCTGTAGGTGTGACAGAAGCCTGTGAAAGTGCTTTCAGTCAACCCTCTGCCTATGGAGAGCACCAGCATCACCTTTGCTGGACCCATCAGGGTTGGTCTGACCTGCCCTTTTCCACCTGCAATCAGGAACATGAGCCCAGCCAGTGCCCTGCAGACAGGCAGGTTTCTGTAGGGCCAAGGTGTGTGCACAGATGTTTGGATGTAGTTCTGTGAGCATTCACGGTGCAAGACCTGGATAGGGCAAACCCCTACCAGGAGTAAAATATTCAGGCAGTAGGGGAATTATCAGCGAATGAGAGGAAATGAAGATTTTAAATGTTGTGGGAGAATTCAGAGAACTCTCTATCATCTCCTCCAATGCAGAGCCTATTCTCTGAGCAAACACCCTCCCCTCCTCTCCCATCCAGCAAAGCCTCTGCCCTCAGGGCGATGGGGTCCCAGGCATGACCCCCCTCCTCTGCAGCCAGAGCTCTAGCAGAGCCGTGCTGCAGCTCTCCAGCCACGGGCCCAGTTCCCTCTGCAGAGCACAGGGGC